GATCTACTGGAATTTTTCACGCACAACCATCTCTAGGGACCATTTACAGAGAATGGTCCAAAAAAGAGAAAATATCCAGTGAGCAGCAGTTGTGTGGACAAAAATGCCTTGTTGATGTCAGAGGAGAATGGGCAGACTCGATCAAGATGAGAGAAAGGCAACAGCAACTCAAATAGCCACTCATTACAACCAAGGTATGCAGAATACCATCTCTGAATGCACAACACATCGAATCTTGAAGCAGATGGACTACAGCAGCAGAAGACCACTCCGGGTGCCACTCCTGTCGGCTATGAACAGGAAATAGAGACTAAAGTTCGCACAGGCTCACCAAAATTGGACAATAGAAAATTGGAAAACATGTTGCCTGGTCTGATGAGTCTTGATTTTAGCTGCGACATTCAGATGGTAGGTTCAGAATTTGGTGTAAAAACATGAAAGCATGGATCCATCCTGCCTTGTATCAATGGTTCAGGCTGGTGGTGGTGGTGTCATTGTGTGGTGGATCCATCCTGCCTTGTATCAATGCCTGGTGGTGGTGGTGGTGTCATTGTGTGGTGGATCCATCCTGCCTTGTATCAATGGTTCAGGCTGGTGGTGGTGGTGTCATTGTGTGGTGGATCCATCCTGCCTTGTATCAATGGTTCAGGCTGGTGGTGGTGGTGTCATGGTGTGGTGGACCCATCCTGCCTTGTATCAATGGTTCAGGCTCGTGGTGTAATGGTGTGGGGGAGATTTTCTTGGCACACTTTGGGCCCCTTAGTAGCAATTGAGCATCGTTTAAACACCACGGCCTACCTGAGTATTGTTGCTGACCATGTCCATCCCATCATGACTCCAGTGTCCCCATCTTCTGATGGCTCCTTCCACCAGGATAATGCACCATGTCACAAAGTTCAAGTCATCTCCAACTGGTTTCTTCAACATGACAATGAGGTCACTGCACTCCAATGGCCTCCACAGTCACCAGATCTCCATCCAATAGAGGACCTTTAGGATGTGGTGGAATAGGAGGTTTGCATCATGGATGTGCAGCCAACAAATCTGCAGCAACTGTGTGATGCTATCATGTCAATATGGACCAAAATCTCTGAGGAATGTTTCCAACACCTTGTTGAGTCTACGCCATGAAGAATGAAGGCAGTTCTGAAGGCAAAAGGGGGTCCAACCCGTTACTAGCAAGGTGGACCTAATAAAGTGGCTGGTGAGTGTAGATACAAAGAATGACTGCTGCATCTCCTCCATACTTCTGATTATGTAGAGAATGTCATGATGGACCTTCCAGACTCTATGGAATGAGGTTGAGTATGCCACGGCAGGCATGTACAGTACATGTATGAAGTAAGGCTCTGTAACATACTCTGGGTGAATCAATTAAATGGATTATTGGATCCAAAAACATCTACTATGTGTGGAGAAATTGTGTACACAGGACCTACATGCACATTTGCGTTTGCATGTACACATGGAGGAAATAGAGGTGTTTTTAAAGCTGAATTCCAGGAATTCAGCCATTTTGTAAAAAGTGAAGGCACGCTATGAGTTAAGTCCAAGGAGGTGCATGATATGTTCTGGACTTATCTCTATTATTTATATCTGACAGGTTTATGGCTCTGTGGGAGAATACACTGACACTGTAGAGAGGAGGAAAGAGGCAAACAGAGCAGATATGCCTGCCCCTCCCCTCTGCTGCCCATTCAGAGAGAAGCCTTTGTATTTTGTGAATAGATTCATATATTACACATGCTGCTGTAATTGGGCAGGAGGATGAGCAGGCATAGCAGCCGCTCCGACTCTAAAGTTGAATATGCTTAAGCCTCTTACATACGATGAGAATATCAGGCAAATGTCCATTTTTTTTATTGCATGCTAGTCTCATATCTCATATAATTCTCATAAGACACAATATAACTTCCGCAATGATGTAACGTATTGTATTCTATAGCAATGTATTCTTTTGTTTCCGAACATGCCCTGTCTTGGTCACTCTAATTTTTACAGAAGAATTCAGTACTGATTAGATGAAAATCCTTCATTCTGGTATCGTACGAGAATATTTTCATGCTTGTCCCTTCGGATAATTTCGCACTGTTGTGAAAGTGTAGTAACGTTCAGATCAGCGGACAATTGCTCCGAAAGTGTTATTTTTCGAGTTTTTCATTGTGTGTACTAGGCTTTAGAGCTGAAGCACAGTGGTGTATTTAGGTTTTGTGCTGCCCTAGGCAACACAAAAGTTGCACCCCCTCCCCGGGAGAGCCTTCCACTACCTTCACCCCCATACACGGGCCAATCTCCTCCCAGCGACAGAGAGAAAGACACTCACTTTCACAGCTCTGGACATCCCCGGGAACAAGAGTCAAGCAGCCCACACCCTCTCTCAGATCCCACCTGGTCCCCAAGCCGCATGTGTCCCTTCTTCTGTCCCTTCTTCCAGGGGTGTGGCCCTAGGCAAATGCCTTGTTTGCCTTGTGGTAAATACGCCCCTGCTGAAGCATCAGCGTTGGGCTCCCAGAAGTACAGCGATAGCCATCTTCCGGGAGTGCAACAAAACTGTCAGATGTAAATAATAGAGTAAGCCCAGGAGATGTCATGCACCTCCTTGGACTTAACACATAGTCTGCCTTCACTTTCCTGGAATTCATCTTTAAAGTGATACTAAAGCTTCATTTTTGTTTTCTTGGTATGAAATAACAAACATGCAGGGGCGGACTGACAACTCATGAGGCCCCCGGGGAATAGGGGATCATGGGGCCCCTGTGTCAAAAAAGCCTATGAAAAAGGTACCAGGGGCATCTCATGGGGCCTCCTACTGACCCTGGGCCCTCGGGCAGTGCACGAGTTTCCAAATGGTCAGTCCGCCCCTGCAAACATGTCCTACTTATCTGCTCTGTGCAGTAGTTTTGCACAGAGCAGCCCCTATCAACATTTTTTGGGGTCCACTGCTGGCGCTCCTGGTACCTCCCCCTTGAGCAGTGCCCTCAGGGAAAGCTGCTTGTCCTGGGGGTACTTCTGCATGCTCGCTCCTGAGCCGTTGCTCTATGCTTCCATAAGACGCTTAAGCTTGACCCCGCCCCCACTCTCTCTTCATTGGCTCACTGGCTGTGATTGACAGCAGTGGGAGCCACTGCTGTGTCAGCCGTGGGAGCCACTGCTGTGTCAGCCAATGAGGAGGGAGAGTCCCCATACAGTCCCCATACGCTGGATCAGAGGGAGCTCAGATAACGATTTGGGGGGGGGGGAGGCACTGCACACAGGATTTTTACCTTCATGCATAGAATGCATGAAGGTAAACCTTAAGCCTTTAGAACAGTGGTTCTCAACCTGGGGGTCGAACGACCCTTTCACAGGGGTCCCCTAAGACCATCAGAAAACATTTATTTTCTGATGTGTAAAGAGCAGCTACTGTGTAGAAAGCAGCTGCTGTGTTGAAAGCAGCTACTCTGTTAAAAGCAGCTACTGTGTTGAAAGCAGCAGTATTGGAGGTAAAAGGACACTAATGAATTATGATTACTGGGTAAATAATTTTATGGTTGGGGGTCACCACAACATGAGGAACTGTATTAAAGGGTCACGGCATTAGGAAGGTTGAGAACCACTGCTTTAGAAACATTTTTTTTTTTTTTTTACTATTTTTTTATTTATTTTGTTACAATTTATTTTTTGCACTTTATTCCTTTTTTTTTCCATTTACCATGATTGCTATCACGAGGGGGCTAAGTGGTAGCATTGGAGAGATGACAGGCTGTCACCTCAGGGTTCTATTAAACCCGCAGCGCCTCCCCTGCCCTCCAGATTCTGCTTGATCAGCTGCATCCTTGGCTACAGTATGATAAATGTGAAACGGGAAGAAACATAATGTACATCACGTCTACTGGACAGCCAATCACCAGCTGAAAAAAATGACACCAAGCACAAAAATGACACTGCGGCTGCAGCCATGTTTTATTTTTTTATCCATGTCAAGTCCGGATATTTTAAAGCGGCCTAAGGACGTGACGTGGTTAAAGTAGTGTTAAACAGTAACAGTTTTTTTAATGATCACCTTCACAGCAACCTCTTCCTCATTCCCTATTGCACAGTTCACTCAATATGTGGGCACATACATTTATATTTCTGACGCCACTCCTCCTCCAGCTCTAGGTGGTACAGTGCTGCTTCCCTGAACCTCCGGTGAGGACAGAGCACACCCTAAGTATCTCACATGCACTGTTCAGGGGCAAGGGCTAAGTTCATGCAAATGGAATCAGCTGCAATCTGAGCTGCTGTTAGAAACCACGGGGCCCCCTACAGCCATCCTGGTAGAGCTCCCTTAAAAAAAAAACCCAGAAAAACCCAGGGGCGGACTGACCATTTGGAAACTTGGGCACTGCCCGAGGGCCCGGGGTCAGTAGGGGGCCCCATGAGATGCCCCTGGTACCTTGTTCATAGGCTTTTTTGAGTTTGGGCAAGTACACAGGGGCCCCATGATACCCTATTGCCCGGGGGCCCCATGAGTTGTCAGTCCTCCCCTGGAAAAACCCCAACAGTTTACTATGCTTCCCTCATGAATGGACAGAGTGAGTGATCAGTACCGATCACTCATTGTGTTCATTCAGGAAAGGAAGGGGCTGGTTAATGTGACATATTTTAGGACCCTTCCCTCAATCTCCATCCTGAAGAATCCTATTGTGTGCTTGCAGCTGCTGGTGGGAAGGAGAACAGGGAAGCCGACATATGGGATAACATGCCGGGGATGGACACATGGGATAACATGCCGGGGATGGACACATGGGAGAACATGCCGGGGATGGACACATGGGAGAACATGCCGGGGATGGACACATGGGAGAACATGCCGGGGATGGACACATGGGAGAACATGCCGGGGATGGACACATGGGAGAACACGCCGGGGATGGACACATGGGAGAACACGCCGGGGATGGACACATGGGAGAACACGCCGGGGATGGACACATGGGAGAACACGCCGGGGATGGACACATAGGAGAACACGCCGGGGATGGACACATAGGATAACATGCCGGGGATGGACACATAGGAGAACACGCCGGGGATGGACACATAGGAGAACACGCCGGGGATGGACACATAGGATAACACGCCGGGGATGGACACACATAGGATAACACGCCGGGGATGGACACACATAGGATAACACGCCGGGGATGGACACACATAGGAAACACGCCGGGGATGGACACACATAGGATAACATGCCGGGAATGGACACACATAGGATAACATGCCGGGGATGGACACATAGGATAACATGCCGGGGATGGACACATAGGATAACATGCCGGGGATGGACACATAGGATAACATGCCGGGGATGGACACATAGGATAACATGCCGGGGATGGACACACAGGATAACATGCCGGGGATGGACACATAACATGGATACACATGCCGGGGATGGACACATAGGATAACATGCCGGGGATGGACACATAGGAGAACACGCCGGGGATGGACACATAGGATAACACGCCGGGGATGGACACATAGGATAACATGCCGGGGATGCACATAGGGCCGATGGACACATAGGATAACATGCCGGGGATGGACACATAGGATAACATGCCGGGGATGGACACATAGGATAACATGCTGGGGGGTTTACTGGCTGTAGAAAAAAAACATCAACAGCCAAAAACAGCCGCTGTAAAAAATGTCCCGTGTGCGTGATGACTGAATGGTGGGGGGGTGGGGGGGTGGTAGGCTGTAGGGGCCCTGTGATTTCTAATAGCAGCTCTGCCTGTGGGTGTTACCTAGGGCGGTCTGCATGCAATTACAGTCTAACTAGGTACACCTACTACTACAGACTGAAACCTACCTATCAAGAGCCGACACACTGCTTGTATCAGGGCTGAGGGTTATTGAGAGGAGTACTGAGGCAAAGTGCTGTGATGTTTTCAGGAAGCTATGTTCAGCACCCTGACAGGCCACGATCTGCCTGTATTGCATGTAGAAGCACAGTGACCCGGTCATGACATCGCTGGGTTTAAAATAAGAAAAGTAATAAAAATTAAAAGATCTTAGTTAAAAACGTCATAACCAAAAAAGGTCGAGTATCTGGCTGCTCCTCCCTATATGAATGCATATACCCAAAGAACCCCCAGTGGGACTTTAATGCAGCAATAGGATCATACATATATTGAAAGAGACATTTGATTAAAAGAGATCTCTATCAACTTTATTACATACACATTTCCATTGTAATATTAAATACATGGTTTCTAAAAAGAATATTGCTCTGACCAAGGGTGGACTGACAACTCATGGGGCCCCCGGGCAATAGGGGATCATGGGGCCCCTGTGTCCTTGCCCAAACTCAAAAAAGACTATGAAAAAGGTACCAGGGGCATCTCATGGGGCCCCCTACTGACCCTGGGCCCTCGGGCAGTGCCGAGTTTCCAAATGGTCAGTCCGCCCCTGGCTCTGACAGTGTTCTTACAAGAGAACTCTTACCCCCGGTTCACACCTATCCCGCCGTGCGGGCCGTGTTTTGCACGGGTATGATAGCCCATTCATCTGAATGGGCTCCCGTGCCTGTGACACGCAGGGAAAGCAGTCCCTGCATTACTTTGAAAAACACAACCGAGGTTCCCAGTACGGTTGCGTTTCCCAGTGCGGGCGGCGTGCCATTATAACTAATGGCACCCACCCGCGGGTCTGCATGTCTCTGTGCGGGTGGTGCTGCTGCACAGGTTTTTGTGCGAATCCGCAGCGGCACCACCCGCATAGATGTGAACCGGGGGGTTAAATACAAGAATATGAAACCGCACAGAAATGAAAGAAAATACCCCAAAATTTAAAAATGTGATTAGTGTGTTGATGAAGTGTGAGGGAGGAACCAAGGCAGGCAAAATATAAGTGGATTCAACTTCAACATTAAAATGTATTTAAAGCCTTTTGGCCATTTTGGATGGAGTGGGAAGGGTCAGAGGCATCCCTTGGGTTGGTGTCACCCTGTGCGGTAACACTTGGTGACACCCCCTCCGACGATCCCCGCAGAATGGATCGGATCTGCGGATTGAGCATAATGCATAGGAGTCCGATCCATTATGCTCCCCAATCCGCAGATCTGATCCATCCTGCGGGGATCGTCAACTTGCAACCTATACGGGGTTAACTGATCTTTCGACACCGGTCCGGTCTGCACATGCTGGAGACATGATGTCAGATGGAGGAGGTTCCTGCTATCGCGGCCGCATTTCCTGGTTACGGACAAGTCCTAGATCTTGCACTGCCTTACCTAGATCAGTTAACCCCGTATAGGTTGCAAGCCGATGATCCCCACAAGATGGATCGGATCTGTGGATTGGGGAGCATAATGGATCGGACTCTGATCCATTATTCTCAATCTGCAGATCCGATACATCTTGCGGGGATCGTCGGTTGCTTTAAAACTTTCCTTTTCATGGATCTCGTGGAGAGGGTCCGTTGTCACCCCGTGCAATAGGTGTCACCTGGTACAGTGCGCACCCCCTGCACCCGCCTAGGGATGCCACTGACCCTGTGTCGTCACCCTGCCACCAGCACACATTGCTCAGGCATGGCCAACCATTGCCACTTTCAGGAACCTGGTCCACAGCAATGATGTGCAGCCAGCATTGAAGCAAATGCATTTACATGGGTTGTATTTGAGGAGTTCAGCAGGATTCAGATTAGAAAAAGATGAAAAAGGTTAAAATGGTCCAAATCTGGACTGGCTTCCTGGTAGTAACAATAGTGGACAATCCATGTGCAATGTGTTGGTGAGAGAGTGACAACACAAGAGCACAGTTATGCTCAATCCGCAGATCGGATCCATCCTGCGGGGATCGTCGGCTTTCTTTACAACTTACCTTTTCTTGGAGCGGGTCCGGTGTCACCCCGTATAGGTTTGCATCCTGACGATCCCCGCTCCAAGAAAAGGTAAGTTGTAAAGAAAGCCGACGATCCCCGCAGGATGATCCCCTGCACGCATGGATCCGATCTCTCACCAACACATTGCCCTAGGTGGGGCAGGGGGCTGCGCACCGTACCGGGTGACACCTATCACACGGGGTGACACCGGACCCTCTCCATGAGATCCACGAAAAGGAAAGTTTTAAAGCAAACCGAGGATCCCCGCAAGATGGATGGGATCTGCAGATTGAGCATAATGGATCAGAGTCCAATCTATTGTGCTCCCCAATCCACAGATCCGATCCATCCCGCGGGGATCGTCGGCTTGCTTTACAACTTACCTTTTTGTGGAGCGGGTCTGGTGTCACCCTGTGCGGTCGGTGTCACCCGGTGCGGACCGCACCCCCGCACCTGCCTCGGGACACCACTGGGAAGGGTTAGAACCCCCTTCAGGTTTTATTACTGCTGTGCCTTCACTAAGAAGAATCCCCTTCTCGCTTTGTCTCTGGCAAACGCAAAATTTTACATCTGCCACCGGAGGCGAGGGGTAATCGCACTTTGGAGAGGTTGTATCTCACTTCCTGTTGTGTCCCCTGAACAGGAATTGAATGGGAATTTAGAACTCACTCTACCCCCCCAGCTGGACATACGCTATCCAAACTCTATTACAGAAAAGATCCACTAATTGTCTGTCCAAGCCAGCGCTGTAGGGGTTAACCCAGCAGCCTGCGCTCCGAGCCAGAACATTTGGAGAAATAACCGCCGCTGCGCAGTTTGTTTCTGTTGATCAAAGCCAGAGCCTTTGTCTGCTTCTTTCATAATTATATTCTCCAGCTAATTGTGGCTTTTGCTGAATGGCGAAAATGACGGCTTCGTCTTCTCGTTCTGTCTTTATAAACACGATTACTCGGCTTTCTCTGCCCACAAAGGGATGTTTCTGGTGACCTGCAAATATCCAATGGCTGCTTTTCCATTGATGCCATTGGCTTTGCTAAAGTTATGTAAAAAAAAAAAAAAAATCAGCATATAGGAGAGTGAAGGAAACAGGAGGTGTAGCTGACAGAGAAGAGTAAAAGAATAGACAAAAGGAGGCCAAACACATTATCAGCGCTGCCAGAGCACAGAAAGAGGAGGAAATTGCCAAATCTATTAAGAAAGGAAGTAAAACCTTTTTTAGGTACTGTCAGGGATCCGGGTATGACCAGAAATGTGTGGACTGACACAGGGAAGTAACAGGCTTCAGGAATGATATAATAATATAATTTATTATTAGCTACCCAAATATACAACGCACAGTATATTGTATACGGGGCTGGAGAGGTGGAAGGGTCAGGCCGGCCATATGGTTCTGTTAACGTCTGGTGATACCCCTAGCAGTCCTCAGGACAGGATTCACCAGGGCGCGGAGTCTAAGTCCCAGTCTGCTTATTCACCAGCGCCCCTGATGGTGGGGATGGATTTGGAGCAGACGGGAACCAGGTCGCGGCCCCTGAGTACACCTGCTCGTGGTAGAGGGATCCGCCAGAGGTATATGTAGGTAGGAAGCCTGATGTGAAGAGGCTGAAGGTGTGAGCAGGGATGGCTGGATCCGTGCAGGATGAATGGATCGTCTGGGTAGCATAAGGCGTAGTCAGGCAGGCCAGGTCAGCAACATGCGGGCAGCATGGTACCGATGGAGCAGGCAGAGTATAATCAGGGTTACAAGCCGGGTTCAGGAACTCACGGGCAGTGTGGTACAGAGGATCAGGCAGAGAATGGTCAGGGTCACAAGCCGGGTTCAGTAACTCACGGGCAGCGCGGTACAGAGGAACAGGCAGAAGGATGGTCAGGCAAGCCAGGGGCTAAACAGGAGATGGTCAGCAGGGTCAGGAACAATGCAAAGTCGGCAACAAATCAAATAGGCAGAGGAACAGGAACACAGGATACAAGGTACAGGGGCTCATGGGAAACATACACCAAGGCACTGATCACAGGCCTGGTCATTCCTTAAATACACCTCCTGCAATCAGCCCCAGGTGTTGGCTGACTGCAGGAGTGAGCTTCTGGCTGCTGAGAGCACCCGCTGGTCAGCCCTGGTACTGCAGCCCACACAGCCGGTGAGTCCCACCACCAGTGCTGAGTCCATTCCTGACAGGTACATTAGTGATGGAAAGAAAAAATACGATGGGATCACTAAAATGAAAACTGGGCACAACACTTATGTTGAGGGAGACCTGGAGATAGCCAACCACTTCAACAATGACTTTTGTTCAAAAATAAAAAGATGTAAAAGTGATCTCTATCCAATCAGCAGCTAAGCACTCAAGGTAACCAATATAAACCTTACAAACAGAATAAGTAAAACAGTGCAGCACTAAAATATGATAGACAGTATAAAATGATCAGAGTTCAATGTAAAAAACAGTCATTGTGACTATAAAGTGCCAGGTGACTGGTTGAAAATCAATGGTGGTGCTCCGTGAGAAATGGCAGAATTACGCACTCACCAGATGCGTAATAGTTATACGCATTAGGTATCACATCCAGGGGTTTCCTTATCAGATATAGGTCTGGTCAAGGTTAAGGTGATCCTCCCTCAGGGTAGTAGTCGGCAAATGCCCAGGAATCAAATTACTTGGATCCAGGCAA